GCCTTGAAAAGCATGGGCACAGTGTGTAAGCAGTTGTTTAAAACAGGTGAAACTGTCTAGCGGCTATAAGCAAAGCAGGCAAATGCAACTGCAAGCACCTATTGCGCAGATAGCACCATCTGGGGTGACCGCCATCTTTCATTGGGAATTTCTGCAGCCCTCCGCTCTCGCCCGTTACACTTCCCCCTCTATTCACCATAACTCGAACATCACGGCGTGACTGGCAGGAAAGATGCCTCCTCTGATTAAGTGGCATAGTAAATGAATTTGAACGACACACGGTAAAAGACGCCATGGATATTTCGCCACAAGCTCTGCATGTGTTGCCGTTTGATAGCCAACCAGGAGGTGCGAGCACCCTGTTTCAGACCGGCTGTTGCTGGTACTGAAACTGTTGCCAGGTGTTAGCACAATAGGAACACTTGGATTGCTGATGTCATTACTTCTACCACATCGTCGCTCAGGATGGTATGGGTCACACTAAACACGTCACTGTAATATCGATGTCGCAAGGTGCTATTGAGGTTTTGCGGAATGTTTTTTCTTGAAATGAAAACATTGTGATGATGGGCGTCACTCTGATTTGGTAAAAAAATAGCTATGCATTGCAAGCAATTGAATGATGAACACATTCTGAGCTTGAAGTTTTCTGTCTGTGTCTCTTCTGTTTGTGTCTCTTTAAAGGCCAACTGCAAAGAAATTGTGCACATGCCAAAAAGTTGATTTATAGGCAGTCTAGCTGGAGACAGTGCTGCCTGCCGAATTTTACTTTTGAAATGCAAGTAGTTACCTAAGAAAAACGCTCGCCAACAACTAATTTTTGATACCGAAAGTACAAAAAATGCCATTACATTTTATTGGTATTAAAGTATACAGCAGCTTAACAGACAGGCCAATTCAGGAGAATAATCTGCTCTGCATTCCAAAGTACGCGCGCCGTGGCCAGACCCCAGTTTTTTCTTTAAATAGTAACAAAATGTGAACATGCACTGTGAAGGATATAATATTGCAAAAGCTCATTGACGCGCATACCTAAACGACTGTCTGCTTTACGCCTACCGTCTGGTTAAAGTGAGCGCACTTTAGTCTGGTCCTGCTGTGTTGGTGAAGTTGCTGGTTCACAATGAATGATGCCGCTCGATTACACTTCGAATATTCTCGTTTGTTGATAGACTACGGACGATCACATAATGTTGTTTTTGATACCGATGCTCAGTTTGACACACTCCCATGTCTACCAAAAGTGACCCTGCATTTCGTAAACACTTGTCTAACTGCACACAAAAAAATTTACATTAAACCTATTCTAGCACATTCCGTTTTCTTATAATACATATGTGGCTTGAATTGCTTAGAACTGAGCACGACAACATTTATGTCGAACTTCGCTCCTTTGACTACTAACTGGAAGCGAGCTGATCAGCCTTTAGGGATTTGATTACGCGATCATACATGGTGCAGCTAGTGTAGCACCACGCTTTTCGATGCATTCCAATTCTTTCACCTCACTCCGATAACCTGTAGCTTTTGAGGCTTCGTGTTTTTCGAAAAAGCGTGAAAGCTGGTCCCCATTTGCAACATGTATTACAGCTGCCTACGGCCTTGCTTTTCGTACCACAAGAGAGTTAAATCCTCTAAATTATCTGCATGTAGATATATGCGCATCATTCAGAAACGGAAAGGATGCGGCTACAAGGAGGTCTGCTCACGATCGGTGGTGATCTGTAATGGATGTCATTTCTGTTGGTGCCAGATTTGTCCTGGCACACCGCTAGAGCTCCGCGTTGTCTGCTAGCTGACAATTAGAGCGCTCATTATGAAAGAAATATGTGAATGCAGGCTTTCTCACTCTCATCATTATTTCCCTAACATATACTGCGCATTCTGAACCCATTCTGCCCAGGTAAAGTTTCTTTGCAGTTGGCCTTTAAGAGTTCGCGGGTTCGAATCCCGGCTGCGGCGGCTGCATTTCCGATGGAGGCGGAAATGTCGGCCCGTGTGCTCAGATTTGGGTGCACGTTAAAGAACCCCAGGTGGTCGAAATTTCCGGAGCCCTCCACTACGGCGTCTCTCATAATCATATGGTGGTTTTGGGGCGTTAAACCCTACAAATCAAATCAACCTTTAAGAGTTAGGCATGTGGGGTCTCGTTGGCGCGAGAGCCAAGCTCTTGGAGTGAATAGACACGGTACACACGGTCGGGACAAACCAAACAATACACTTGTTTAACTACTATTTAACGATGTTATTGTCAGCCGAATTATTATACATCAATCATGATCAACACGCTAAGACATCTTTACGCAATATTACGCAACATTCAAACACCATAAGAAACAAGGCAGTGTCCCTAACGCCTGACTCACCACATGGGCCCACCGCAGACCCACCGCTGGAGGCAACAGTCTGCGCCACCGCCCCACGCCAACACAGACCAGCTTATTTCTTGCACGCCGCCACCCCGGCTTGTGGTCAGATGTCACCGCTGGCACTGCCGATCTAACAACCACGATGATGGTGATAGTGGCGGTGATAACAAACGCTTGCGAGCACGCCACCTACCGGCCGGTAGTTATAAACCCGAAATGCAGCCTATGTGCGAGACACGTGCGTCATGTGGTGCAAACAACATTACAGGGCACATCTCCCCAACTTTAATTCAAACCATATCCCGAAAAGAAATACGCTACACAAGCTCTAACAAAAAAAATGATGACATCCATCTTCACATAATGTCAGTGTGCCACGACACTGCTGCCGGTCGACACTGCTGCACTGTCCGGCTCGACGACTTCACAGTACCGGTCCCGCAACAGCAACGTTGCCGTCGGCGCCATGAACCGCCACTCGCGCCGACACGTCTTCTGGTTGCGAACAGCATTCACGAGGGCGCCGGACTGCAGGCAGTTGTGCAGGTTCCAGGCATGTCCATCGCCCGACCTCACAACCGTATTCCTGGCCAGCGGCACTGACGATGTGCAGAAGACAGCCAGCCGTGGGTTATATCACTCCTGCTGCGTGCATTCAAAACACTCGAAAGAGCAATGCATTAGGGCAAAGAGAAAGCTTCAAGCTCCTTGCTCACGTGATACTATGGTCAGTACTGCTAGGTAATACATCGGTGGCGGCCGAGACGCCCATAAAAATAAAACAAAAATCACTTTTCCTAACTCGTGCATCACAAGATAAAAAAAAATGAGGGAAGCAGAGTGCAACACCTCAACGCCACAATCCACCTAGTTGTGCCACATGCGACAGGCGGCTGCGCAGAGCCTTAGGTCTAATAAGTCTCTTGACAACAACCGGCATTCACCCAGCCTAGGCACAGAAGAGGCAGCCGCAAGGAGACATCCACTCTGTAAGGTGTCCCTATCGGTCGCTGCACACAGCAGCTTATTGAGCGATCGGCGTCGTACTGCAATACCAGACAGCAACGACGCCCGGCTCCTTGAGACCAAAGAGATGGAAGAAGCTAGTTACAGAAAATCGGACCATCCAAGAGGTTTCCATACTCACTGGCTTCTGGCTTGGGCTACGATCCACGTGCTTTAAGCTTTGCTCACCCCAAGTTGCAGACCGTATGGTTCTCTGGTTCATTGCAACGTTCTTGCAAACAAACAACTAAAAAAAAACCACTTGCGAGCAGCAAAAAAAAAAAGAAGAAATGAACGTGCCGACAAGTTCGAACACTCACAGCAATTGATCTCCTCGCTCTCAACAAAGCACACTGCCGACGCTAGCAAAGAAGTCCCCCTTGGCCTACTCTACCCCTGCTCTAACAAAAAGCTTGCACCGAACCGCGAAAACTGTCGTCCTATGCCCCAACAGCTCCACGTTGGGCAGCCAGTGTAGGGTCTCGAAATGGCGAGCACCACCACGCTCTTGGAGTGAACGGACGCAGTAGACACGATCGGGACAAGCCAAACATTACACACATTTATTTAACTAATTTTTAACGACGGTATCGGTCAGCCAAATTATTACACATCAGTTGGGATCTACACGCTAACATCCTTGCACAGTATTATGCAACACTCAAACAACATAACAAGGCGGTGTTGCTAACGCCTGACTCACCACGTGGGCCCACCACAGATTGCCCGCAGTGCCGTCCATTGCAGACCCATCATTGGAGGCAACCGTCCGCACCAACGTCCCACGCCAGCAAAGACCAGCTTATTTCTTGTGTGCCATCACCCAGGCTTGCCGCCAGGTGTCACCGCCGGCGCTGCCGATCTAACAACTATGATGACGATGATGATAGTGGTAGTGATAACAAACGCTTACAAGCACAACGCTACCTACTGCCCGGTAGTTGTAAAGCCAAAATGTGTCCTATGCGCGAGACATGTGTGCCATGCGGCACAAACTACTTTACAGGAGGTAATGGCATTACCCGCATGCTCACTCTCACACTATTGCCTTCCCAGTCGCTAGCCGGCCTTTGCTTCTTGGTAGGGACCTAAGCTGTGCCACAAGGAAAGCCAAAGTACAAATATCCTCAGGCTTTTATCTTTATTTTCATGAACCTTAAATTTATGGTCAATACTGCTTTTTTGCTTAAAGTCAAAGGTGACACAGACACCAGAATTTCCACAAAGTGCGCTCTTTAACACTGGTGCATTAAAATATGCAGCTTGCAACTGCTGTGGTGAAGTTTGAGGTCGCAGCTGTCGGTGCGCATTGGGAATTCTTAACAACGAAAACATTTGTACAATAAACTTTTGCGGAACAGTAACATCTTTCTATTTTAATTTCTATGTTTTTGTGATTTTTTTTTCTGATTCTGTATCCTTTTGAGCAGGGTTGTGATCACTGTTCACCTGGTTTCTTAGCATGGAGTAGTTTAATATGCATGCATAAGAGCCTGAGTTAGAATTGTTTGTTTGGTTATGTATTTAGTGCCAGCCAGCTAGCCTGCTCTCTGCATGTGGCATTGCAATTTCCATACTCTTACACATTTCGTTGTTATTGTGGCATATTGTGCTGGCCATTTGTAGACATGGCGGATCAACCTCCCACGGGACGAGCAAGAGGCCGCTCGCGTGGCAAGTCTCGCGGCCCCACAGGCCCGCCGCAACAGGAATCTGCAATGCGGAGGCCTGGCTTTGAAGGTGCTGGGCCGTCTCAGGTGGGCATTGCCTTGTTTGTTGTGTACTCCCAACTTTGTTGTTATTCAATGGCCTTAGCATGTGCAGTGTCACTGGCTTAGTCAGTGTATCAGTGTGGCGTTATGCTGCAGCTTGTTCTTAAACACAGAAGTGTAAAGCTCTGAAGAAACAGGTGCTCGCAGGCTGTTGAAATATGCCTTTCAGCGGCAATATAGTTTGTTTGAAGTAATGTCGGGAGTGGCAGCCAATTCATCCGCAATATACATGCTCGGCAGTGTTCCCCAAAAGTAGTTACCAGCCATCCGGCCTATGATGTCAGTCTGTTGCGTGCAGACATCTGAACATGTTTGTGCACATTCACTTTTCAGGAGGGCATTCCGCAGATTTACACTATGAACAGTTGTCTATATGGGGGTATAGGTGTTTGAAATTTTCATTGTGAATGATTGAGATTTTTGAATGTCAAGTGGTAACTGCCCTTATCAGTTTTTCTGTATTAGGACCGTGTTTTTTTAGGCACTAGTTCTTAAATGTATGTAGGGCAGATCATTTGGGTACTATTTGCAGTGTGTTAAAGGGGCCCTGCAACACTTTTTGAGCATGGTCAGAAAACGCTGCCAATCGGTTGCTCTCAAAAACATCAGAACTAAATATTTTAGTGCATCACGCGGCCTGGAACTTAATGTAAATTATCAATGTCGGCTAAAACTTGCTTTCCCTTCTCTTGACAAATGACGGATGATGCTCAAAAATCACTCAAACATGGCACGCTTGGTCGTTACAGAGATTGCGGCGGGAGGCCGCGACTTGTGCATGTGGGCACGCTATCACGCTGAAAAAGCCGCGTATTCAAAAAAAGAGAAAAAAGTGCTCAAGGTCACGAGGTGCGCATGACGCAACTTTTTTGCTCCTGCCATCCCTCCCTGCTTAGCTTCCAGGGCTTTCGTGGGGACAGGAGAACAGAGAATGCAATTGCAGCATGCGACAAATTTTTGCAGCGTTGAATTTGTGAGGCAATAAGCCCTTCCAGTAAATTCATTTCATTGTTACCTGAAAAGTGTTTCAGGGCCCTTTTAAAGGTGACTTGGCATTTATATGCTATGGAGTCGAGAAACCATTGTGTTTTTCTTGTATGTATGATTTATGGCGTGGTGGATACCATATACAGTAATACCTCGTTAACTCGAAACTTTCATATCTAGAAAAATTGGCTAAGTCGAAATTTTCCACGGCACCGAACGTTTTTTTTATACGACCTATTTATGTTTTTCCTTTATCTCGGAAGTATATTTAAGTCGGATTGCGGATAAATTAAAATCTGGACAGGGAGTGGAACGAAAGTTCTGTCGCTGGACCGTATGACGAGATTCGTGCGATGCTGCCACGCCTGAAGTCCAGTCTTTTCTTTTTTTTTTCATATTTAGCAGCACCTACCACTTTGTCAATCATTTCCGCAAACACGAAGTGCACGAAGTCAGCCCAGCTTCTTATAAACTTTGTCAAGCAACCCTGCGGCACGTCATGTGGCACATGCGCTGAGCAGGGGGTCCTCTGCCCACGCTTGGCATCGTTTGTCTCGTTCGCTTTGTGCAGTGCACATGATTTCCTCTGAGGTGTGATTTGGGTTCATCTGCGCAAAGAACACTATATGGATTTTTCGCTGACTGTGAGTGCAGTGCTTGTGATCTTCCCTGAGGTGTGATTTCCGTTCATCTGCGCAAACTGAGCGGTACGAATTTTTCGCTGACTGTGAGGAGCGGCAGCTTAGCGTGAGTGCGGCAGGCATGGCGTCAAAGCATCGCAAGTTGGTAACGCTAAAAAGAAAGGTTGCCATAATTAAGGCTTTTGACACTTTTGATGGTGCTGGAAAACAAGCAGATGGTGCTGGATGAATTTCAGCAGAGCTTCTCCAGCCAGTGCCCCGCCGCAGTGGTCTAGTGGCTAAGGTGCTCGGCTGCTGACCCGCAGGTCGTGGGTTCGAATCTCGGCTGCGGCGGCTGCATTTCCGATGGAGGCGGAAATGTTGTAGGCCCGTGTGCTCAAATTTGGGTGCACGTTAAAGGACCCCAGGTGGTTGAAATTTCCGGAGCCCTCCACTATGGCGTCTCTCATAATCAAATGGTGGTTTTGGGACGTTAAACCCCACATATCAATCAATCTCCAGCCAGCGGAAGCGGTTTCGGGGGTCTTCGTTCCCAGACGTTGAACTGGCGTTGATGGTATGGCTTCAAAATTATGTCAGGTGCACTGGCGGGTAAGATTGTCCGATGCAATGTGTCAAGCAGCTGGAGGACGCCTTCTTAGGCCCGAGTACGATTGCAAAGGAGACGAGGATTAGGCAGATTTTCTCTGCTAAATAAAATGGCAGTGTGGCAAAGCTCAGCGGGTTAGTCTTTGTATGTTATTTTTCTTCTCTTTTTAAACCTGCATAAGAAGAAAGAATAGAAACTACTGATTAGTAGTGATTTTTCTGAAAAGCACTCATTTTCCCGGTGGTAAGTGCAACTTTACTTGTCTTGAAATTTTCCCTGGTTTTTACGACTTCGAGTCAACAAGGATTACTGTAAGTGTGCTTGTAGTGGTTGCCCCAAAAGTGCTTAATCAAGGCTCTGGAAAGACCGCTGTTCTAGGTTTTGCTTTGACGTTCCACGCAGGCATGGCAGTGTTTTTAGTAAAGCTGGCTAAATATTAGGGCTGTGGGAAGTATACACGTAAATAGGGTGTTTCAAAGATCGTGTCCAAGTGCAGTTTGTGTGTGCTGTTATGTGGGAAATGGAGACTGTCCCCTTAATATATATGAACATGCACAATAGACGAGCTCCATCAAGTGAAACTAGGACCTCTTCACCATTCCAAGCACTACATTGCAGCGTACGCGTTGGGTGCCAGTGTAGTGTACATGTATCCCGCAGGAATACGGCCACTAGCGTGGGTTCGGCCTTGGCGAGCCACAGGGCGGCGTTCACCGTCGTTGGGTGACTAACCCTGCACACATGCGTTTGGACAGCCAAGGCCCCTATGGTGCATGGCAAGTACACAGTACTGCTCTCAAACAAGTCGCAACATTTCATTGCCTGCGGCAACACCAATAACGCAGTACAGTGCCCGCTGCAAAAGGCTGGGGAAAGCAAAAAAGACTCATTCATGCCACGGGCGAAAGTACACCACAAAGGTGCCGCGAGCACGTCTCAGTGTGCAAAAAAGGCCACGGCGACACGTCGCTGAAGCAAGCGGTCCCTCACGGCTATGCTGCGTGCTCTCACAATCGCTCGAGCGAGGGCAAACTCCGCTCGCGTTGGCATCGAGAGGCACGCTTCAACGTAGTATGACCACGTGCGAATGCACCGCACCGCTCTTCAGCTTAGCATTCAGAAGGGGGCAACGAAAGGTAAGCATTTGTCTTGGGTACAAAGCACTGTTGGTGAGTGCGCGCGAGCTCCAAAAATGAAGGAGCTGACGGACGGGAAAGAACAGGCCTACTTACTACCCTTCGCTTCCAGAGAGGTTCTCTCTACCCCCGCTGGGCGCGCGATGTATCGAGACACGCACGACGCCACGACGCCACAGTTGACATCCAGTATGAACCAGTGCCGGGCGAGAGAGGTCTACGTCGCTCCTGCTCTCCCAGGGCTGACGGACCGCGGAGGAGGGGGGAGTCATGTTTAGACGTGAAGGTGGCAGAAATAGGCGAAAAAGTCCGTGCAATGGCAATGGGACATTCTCGGTCTCCACAACATGTGCCTCAAATGTGCAGCACAGGGAAGTGCACTTGTTGATTATGAAGAGGGTCTATTGTCTTTTTGCCTAAAGCACCATGACAATCTTTTATTGTTGCACAAATGAAAACATCTTTTTTTTCATGTTTGCATTGACTTGCCACCCCAGGGATATCAACAGCCACCTCAACAGTACCAGCAACCGTCCCAACAGTACCAGCAACCGTCCCAACAGTACCAACAGCCGCCCCAACAGTACCAACAGCAGCCAGGGTATCAACAAAGGCCTGGCTTTCAGCAGCCCCCACAGCAGCAGCCAGCCTATCAGCAGCCACCTGGTGGTATGGCCGGTCGCCCACCCCCGCAGCAGGTGCCGCCGCATATGCCCCCGACAGGACGGGCTGCCCACCGTCCTGCGGGAGCGATTGCAAGGCCAGGGGATGTTGCCCCTGTGCAGCCGCTCGTCCAACAAATGGGGGCCATGAGCTTGGGTGGTGGTGACACTGCTGGCCGAGGTGCTCGTCGTGGCCGCCGCGATGACATCGCTATTCTCGCAACTCGTCCGCAACGAATCACAGACAAGAAAGGTGTGTTGCGCTTAAACCTCATTTTGACAGTTGCATCTTGCATCAAAATAAATTCATTAAATCCCAAAGTTTGTTATAAAGGTATATTCCTAACCCTATCTATTGCAAGATGATTCTCAATTTACTCAGGTCAAAACTAGTTTTGATGGACTTGTCACCAAAACAAACTAGAAGTCTGGCACATCATGGCACTTTTACAACATAGTTTTGCCTTCCTCACTACCTGACATACACTCAAACCTCGTTAACACAAAGTTGAAGGGGAGCCACAATTATTTCATTATATTGCCGCATGTTCTTAGGCACCTACTGAAGTCTTGCGCCGCTTCCTGCTCCTATGAATTCGGTCACACCGACTGACAAGCCAAACGCGCCAAGCTCTAAACGCCCCATGCAACGCTGGCTGCATGTGTCGCCACACCTACGCGCTGGAAAAAGAAGGCTGGCGGTTTTTTGAAGGAGCGGCACGCGGCGAGACGCAAAAGAAGAGGTTGACGAGGTTTTCTCTAGCGAGCTCAGGATAACCTTAGTGTATTTAGTTGACGGGCACAAGTTCACCATAAATAAATAGCTGTTTTAGCTTCCGGCGTTGTATTTGTTCGTTACAAACTGGTGGAGGCACTGGGCATGATTCCAAGCTCATCTCAGGTTAGAGAACATAGCCCAGAACCCCGAAGGTTGGAACCAGCGCAGTTGACTCCCGTACACCAACGCACGAGTCGGCGCCTACGAGGTGAGCAGCCAGAGTTTGGTGCCCTCTTCGATTCTTTGAGACCAGTGGAGGGCGTAAGTTTCGGAGCCCCTGCAATGGCCGCCCAAGCGACTTCATTTCCATCTCACATCATCATGGACCCGCCCCGAATATTAGAGGTGTTCCACGGTGATATTTTCGGGGATTCCGAGGACTGGCTCGATGGTTTCAAGCGCGTTGCCAGACTGAACAGTGTAGTGTACACGTATCCCGAAGGAGTACGGCCACCAGCGTGGGTCCGGTCTTAGCGAGCCGCAGGGCACGCGTTAACCGTCGCCGTGGCGGGAAACACGATACTGCTCAAGTCGCAACACTTTAGTGTGGCAACACCAAACGCAGTACAGCCCGTTGCAAAAAGGCGCGGCGGGAAAGCAAGTAGGCTTATCCACGCCACGGGCACAAAGTACTACACAGGGTGCCACGAGCATGTCTCCGCGGTAAAGGTGATCCACGGAGACACCGGGACAAAGGGCCCGGTTGCTCGAGCGAGGGCAAAGGCGCTCGCGTTGGCTTCGAAGGGAGACGGGTCGGCGTAGCTAGGCCACGCACTAGGACACCGTACTGCCCTTCGGCCGTGAGTACGCAGCGGGGCAACAAAAGGTGAGCGTTCGCCTCGGGCGCGAGGCGCCGTCGGCGAAGTCCGACGAGCCCCAAGCGACGGGACTCGACGGACGGAAAATAATGCGTGGCTCCCCGTTAGAAGTCCCGGAATGTACTCACTGCTCCCGACGCAGCGCGCGAAAACCTCCCGGGAGGCTCCCCGCGCGGCGCCACAGTCAACATCCGCTACCGGGTGAGGGAGGTAAACGTCACTCCGCCCTTCCCGGCGCGGCAGACAGCAAAGGAGGGCAGACATGTCGGGACATGAGAATGGCAGGAAAGGCGGTAAAGCCCGCGCAAAGGCAGCGGGCCAGCCTCAATTCCCACATCCCCCTCTCCTAAATTTGCCCTGTACCGGTCTGCAAAAGGCAGCCGGACGTCACCCATGCAGTTAAAATGACACTACTATGAGCGACAGCTAACCTCAGTTCAGCCCTGTTACTGCTGCTAAAAAAAGATCACAAATGAGAAACAAACCATAAATAAAGAAGTAAACACATGACACTATAAAGATAACTGCGGAAGGGAGCACAGAAACGTGGCACTAGTGTTCGTGGTGCTGAAGGGGGATAGCGTCCAGTGCGCGGAGGGGCGGTAAAGGCGTGACAGTGTTCGCTGGGTGCGATGCCCGAGTGCGAGGTCAGAGGTACGGGAGGGGGCTCACTGATGGCTTGTTGCGGGTTTTGATAAGCAGCGAGTCCGACGAACGCTGCGTCGGCTGTGCTTCGGAGGCCCCGCATTTCTGGCTCGATGATGGAGCTGAGATGTTGCGCGAAGCCGGGCCTCCCCAGTTGTCAGGGAGGCCGCACCAAAAATGGCTGCGAGGCGCCCTGGCGTTGGCGGGCAGCATATAGCTGCTTTCAGCTGGCCTCGCGCAGGAGCCATGGTGGAAAGGCAGCACGGCTTCTTCGGCGACAGCCGAGAGCAGAGCACAGCCGGATGGTCCGATGTCAATGGGTCAATGCCCCCCCAGCACCTCCAGTGCCCGCATCGATGGGGGGGGGAAGCCGACGCACTCTTCGCGGGCTCGCACTGAGGCGTCACGCACTCACACGCACACACACCGCCGACAGCTGCGCGAGCGTAGGCGCAAAGCGTCCTTCGTCTCTCTCTCTCCCGGCAAGCACCGACACTCAAGGTCACACACAGCTCCCTTCGCGGTAGACGAAACGAACACGAAAAAAAGTAAAACAGAGCAAAACGACACTCAACATCTGGCGAAAAACATAACACAAATAACACTTAATATTAGACAAAAGAAACATAAAATACACATGAACACTTAAAAAAAAAGAAACACTGGCAGCAGACTGGGCGGGGTCGACTCCTTTACGAGAAAAGGCCGTGAAGAAGCTAACCTATACTGAGGCTAGACAGTAAACTGAGGGCCTTCGGTTGCGGAGAAGTCCGCCGTCCGGCGCGAAATCACAAAGGTGACCGCTTCCTCAGATTATACCGGTGCGTGGTCCGAATGCGGTCCGCCGCTCCGGGTGTGCCCGTTGCTTGCGCGAAGTGCCGCAGGGCACTGGCGCAAGCTCGTCAGACCATGACAAAGGGCTTCAGGTCTGCGATGTGGGCACGGCTGAGTTTTCCCAAAGGGGATATTTCAGCTAGCACGCGCCACGGACGCTCACTGACAATCGGTTCATAAGACCGGGCGGCTTTCCAACCCTTGGCTCAACCGTTTGTCAGACGTGGCAGGCACGGAATAGCGATAAAAGCCACGCTTCGTGCCGGGCCAGGTCACAACATTGCTCAGTTTGCAAAAACTTTCGAGCCACTCAGGTGACCGGCCATGGATTCGTCGTGAGAGGATCGCAACAGTGCGGCTCTCAGACTTTTGGGCATAACCACCTTAAACGGGTCGCTGGACTCGTCGTCAGTGGCTATATAGTTCAGCAGGAGCCCGTCATGGTCCAGCAAAATGAATCCGCCGGGGACTCAGCGACACACGCTGTTTCAGCCCCCTAATCGCGCCCGCCGCAGAACAAGCAGCGTAACGGCGCTCCGCGCCTCTCAAGACGGTTTAACGGCGCCCGCCGCAAAGCAAGCAGCGTATACGGCGCTCCGTCCCTCTGAGACTCGAAACGGATCACTCTGCTGAGCCTTCAGTAGCTCTTCACTGCCGAAAGCGATTCCCATTTTCCCAAATGGGGGAGTCTGGTATCGCGCCCACTCAGGACCGCAGCAACAACCGCTTGAGTCGGCGTTACGGGTTCGCTCTCGGCCTTGTGGCCTTCGGAAAGCTCCCCCGCTCGGCTGCTTCGCGGTGCGCCGCTTACCTGGATAGCAGCCAAGGTCATCCTCATGGGGACTCTCTCTTTTCGCCGCTGTTTCGCCCCAGACGCTTGCATGTGCTAAGGCACCGCGAGCGGCCGTCGCATCGAAATCCAGGTTCTCGGCAGACAACAGGGGGCACGAGATAGCGCGTCAGCTACCACGTAGGAGTGTATTTACCACAAAAAGGGGTGACGACACAGGCGAGCGTCGAAGGGCGCCCGTCGATAGAGGCGGTGGCCTCTTGGTGCAACGCGGCATGCCACGAAGCAGACATGTTGCGACGAGCCAAAATCGCGCAGGCGAACTGACTCGCTAAGAGCAGTCAAAAGCTAGAGCTTTTGATACCACGTTGGGCGCCAGTGTGGTGTACACGTATCCCGAAGGAGTACGGCCACCAGCGTGGGTCCGGTCTTAGCGAGCCGCAGGGCACGCGTTAACCGTCGCCGTGGCGGGAAACACGATACTGCTCAAGTCGCAACACTTTAGTGTGGCAACACCAAACGCAGTACAGCCCGTTGCAAAAAGGCGCGGCGGGAAAGCAAGTAGGCTTATTCACGCCACGGGCACAAAGTACTACACAGGGTGCCACGAGCACGTCTCCGCGGTAAAGGTGATCCACGGAGACACCGGGACAAAGGGCCCGGTTGCTCGAGCGAGGGCAAAGGCGCTCGCGTTGGCTTCGAAGGGAGACGGGTCGGCGTAGCTAGGCCACGCACTAGGACACCGTACTGCCCTTCGGCCGTGAGTACGCAGCGGGGCAACAAAAGGTGAGCGTTCGCCTCGGGCGCGAGGCACCGTCAACGAAGTCCGACGAGCCCCGAGCGACGGGACTCGACGGACGGAAAATAATGCGTGGCTCACCGTTTGAAGTCCCGGAATGTACTCACTGCTCCCGACGCAGCGCGTGAAAACCTCCCGGGAGGCTCCCCGCGCGGCGCCACAGTCAACATCCGCTACCGGGTGAGGGAGGTAAACGTCACTCCGCCCTTCCCGGCGCGGCAGACAGCAAAGGAGGGCAGACATGTCGGGACATGAGAATGGCAGGAAAGGTTGTAAAGCCCGCGCAAAGGCAGCGGGCCAGCCTCAATTCCCACAACAGTTGGGACGAAGACGGGAAACTTCGCTACGTCTACGTGGCACTGCAAGATTCTGCGCGTTGTGGGAATTGAGGCTGGCCCGCTGCCTTTGCGCGGGCTTTGCCGCCTCTTTTCTCATGTCCCGACATGCCTACCCTCCTTTGCCGTCAGCCGCGCTGGGAAGGGCGGAGTAACGTTTAACTCCCTCACCCGGTAGCGGATGTCGACTGCGGCGCCGCGCGCGGGGACCCCCGAGAGGTTTTCGCGCGCTGCGTCGGGAGCGGGGAGTACAG